TGTGTTATTTGTTGTGATATAATTGGTTTGGTTTTCACAATAATTGCTTAAAGTCAAATTGGATCTTCGTGCCCTGCCATACTCTATATTTAATTGATGTACGTAAACGTTAACTCAAGTTTAGTTTAAGTGAAAACATTTTTTATCTATGTAAGTAAAAACGGATGTCACTACTGCATGATCCGCGATGTCTGGGGTGCCAACTCAAGGCACAAAGCTTACGGTTAGTTACTGTATCAATCATTATTGAAATACATATTCATTTATTCATTTATTATTAAGCCATAATACGACGAAAAATAAATTTAAAAAAAATATTTCAGAGACTGACTTATAAGGAAATCATTATAAAATTATAAAAAAAATGTAGGTTTTAGTTTTAATCAATCTAACTCTTCAAGTTATTCAAATTACTTACAATAACAAAATGTAAAAAACAAAGACGTATACCATAATTTAATATCATCCATGATATATCTTTACACAATCAATCTTTATCCTTAAGTTGCAATTATTTTTTTTAATTAGGTTAATAGGTTGAATTTATATTTGAAACATATTATTAAAATTCCTCTCTAAGTTGATAATAATAAGTAAATAGCTGTAAAATTAAAAGTACTAAACAAATATATTTGTAATCGCTTGCCAACGGTAGCGCTTGGAAGAGTTTTTAAATTTATATAAATATATATAGTTAAATCCTATTTATCTGACAAAAACAGTAATGATAAGAACATAAACAAATTACAATGATATACAAAAAAACAAAAAGTCACACTTTCAGCAAAGCTAAAAATGGGTACATTGTGTAACAAATTACATTTAAAAAATGTATAAGTAAATATTCAGATTTTCAAAATGTACACCATAAGTTTTAAATTAATTTCTTTTTATTATTCTATTTTAGGCTAAACTATTTTTATTATGATGATTTAATATGAATGTTTACTATATTTTTAATAGGGCAGGGCGAGGCATAAAGGTCCAATTTGATTTCAGTAATTATACTGTCTTAACTAAATAAACTACATTTATTATTTATGATGGCTCAACATGTATCAAACAAACAACTATCGAACTATGTTCAGTAAAATTCCCAGTTAACTCTTAATGTTTTTTTACTATTTTGTTAAAATTTGTCATATGTCGCTTTTTTACCCATGGGCGCGGGTAAGAAGGGACAGCGGAGGAGGAGGGGGGCAAACAGATCCAACATTCTTTTTTATTTTAAAGAAACTTTGCGAAATTATATCTACATATTTTAACCAATGTGAAATACAAATTTTACGGGAACATTTTTTACAAAGATTTCATTGTATATGACTTTGGTCTTGTAATTGAAAGAAATATTAATTAGCAGATATCGAATAACTATTAATGTTTTTTTAACTTAAATTACTTTGATATTATTTTTTATTGTTTACACCGTTGCCAATGTAAAGGTTTAGTTGTTTTTTTTTGCACTAATCACATGCAAGCTTTTATAGAGATTATATATAGTCGTAAGAATTAAGGTGATGAATGGTTACTCATTCTTTGTCTTATTTTTTCAAATAGTATTCTTAAAGAAATCTATACTTTACTCGTTTTTGAGATAATAGTGGTGGACCTTTTTTCCCGCGAACATTTAAGCTTTGCTCTACTCTATACTTTCCATAAATAAATTATGCTGTTAAATGTTAACAATTATTATTATTAAGTACCGGGATACCTATTCTGCATCATTATTCTAAAACAAACTTCAAATTAATTTTTTATTTTGGCAAATAGGCTAAAATTATTATTTATTCGAAATTAAGATTTAATTTTATATATAATGAATGCATAAATATAATATAAATAAATATTGAACTATTTGCTTTAAAATATGAATAATTTACAGCGATTTTTGGATTGGTACTTAGGACGTAAATTTTACTCAGTGACCACTGGAAAAATGGTCTTTTGGAATTTTCTATGGAATATCAGGATACTGAAACCAACAAACCACGTTAAATTCATTGAAATATGTAAATATTTTACTTCATAATTTTAATATCTGAATGTTCATCTATATAATAATGGTTATGATATCCGGAAATACTTTGTGCTTTTTCAACGTTCGTTCCGTTGCGACCTATTCAATCAAATACGAAATAATACATTATATTAAGTTTGCGCCCGTTGCAGTTGACGCCAAATTGAGAATAAAAGATGCAATTATGATGTTTTAACTGAATTTATCAGTATTGTCGCAAATGCACTATCTCAAACAATTATCACAGTTCGACACGTGAGCTCTTGGGAAAAAAATCAATCCATACGCGCGCTCAAACGTACTCACTCACTTATGTAATAAATTTCACGCTAATATTAGTTTCCCAGTTTTCATATTTTAGATTTTGTTGTTTTAATTCATCCAGATCGACAACAAAAAATAATTCATAAATCATATGTATTAAGGATATATGCGTCATGGTTTTAACTATGTTAATAACTTACCGTAGGGTAAGTTATAGTATTGGCCCAAAAATCGAAACTGAAAATTTTTGCATATCTTCACGTTTCAGAAGTTTCTGAACATTTTGGCATACCTCGGAAAAAATGGATGTTTGTGTGTGTGTCGGTTAACCGATTTGAATTGTTAAAAAAACATTCGATTCCTATTGATGAGATGTGCTGATTAGTTTTTGACGAAGACAGGTCTAGCGGCTTCGGAGATGTGCTGAAAATGTCAGTTTGTAGGACAACGGATCAACCGATTTGAATGATCCTAAAAACATTTGATTTGTAATGATGGGGAGAAGAGGTAATTAGATTTTTGCAAAGGCAGGTCCAGTCGTTTGGCAATTTTTGAGAGAACTTAGCATCCGATTTGAATGATTTATAAAACTTTCTGCCTATGTTGACGAAACTATTGCTCTTGGAAAAAGATTTTTTTTTATTTCATTCTTTCTTTAATTTTCAAAAAAAAATTTTTTTTGAATATCGAAAAATAATTCGGATTTTAATTCTAATTCTAGCTAAAGTTCTAAACATCATTTATATATAATACTTCAAATAAATAATTTAGTTTAGCAAATTAGTAACTTTGCGATTCAGTTTATATAATACTTAGAAATATTAGACGAAGTTCTTTATTTTAAATCTGATTGATTAAGTTTTGTTTATTTCATTTTTATTTTATAAAATAAGAATAATGGAAGTTACATTATTTATAATAATCTATTAGAAAACATTTAATATTCCTCGAATATTTCATTAAGTTACGGGAAGTTCCAGCAATTTGCCTTAAGACACGATGTCATACACCACTAGTTCAACTTGCCTTTTACCCTAAAAGTTTTAAACGAACTGTTATCAATATCATTCTTAAGTGGTTTATTCATATTTGTAGCGATTTACATTTTTGTTTAATTTGGTAAAGAAAGCTATTGCAGAGAGCACACTATGTAGAAAAATATTTTGATCGAAAAAATCCAATCTATTTTTCAAAGTATAGTCATAAGTGGTGATAAACTGTTATACACTAAACACTTGTAACATGATTATTTCTCACTATATCCATATTACCGGGAGTCTACAGCCAATTGTTTGCATTACAATTGTTAATACAGAGATTTTGCTTAAATGCAAATACTTTAATATCAGGCACTAACTAGTCAAAATTTTATAACAGTCATATTTGAAATCTATGAACAAAATACGAGAAAAGTCAACAGACACGAGTAATAGCCCAGTATACTATAAAGATTCGATTCAATTGCTTGAATGAGTGATTTTCCAAAAGCATTATCGAACAAAACCTGTTTGCGTTTTATTTTACTACTTTTTTAATTATATGCATTTTAATTTGTTTTTATTATACTTCACCCATTATAGATACATTTTGAAGTTATGATAGTTGATATTTTCAAAAGCATTTAGGCAGATATAAATTAAATTATAATCTAATTTCAAATTATACACATTAATATGAATAATCTGATGATATTATTGAGATAGTATGGCTTTGGTCAAAGTGATATATTCTTCGAAGTACATACATGAGAAATAAAAATAATTCGTGTTACATTATTTGCTCTATTTACTAATAGCAAAATATTAATGTGCCACTATTTTGTATCATCTGTGCAAGTGTGACGAATTGTATAATTCTTATTTAAATATTTTGGTTTATGACCAATCGCTAATATTATATTGCAATTTGACACATATCATTATCGAGCAGTTGTGGATATTTTGATTAATAATTAATAAGCTAAATTATTTGTTATTTAAATTTTAGTGTATTGCTATTATCATAGTAATGTAATTGCAATTAGTTAGAACTCAATGACAGCACTGACATATAACAAAATAAGTAATAAATATTTTATTACTTATAGAATCACTTAAAGTTGAGTTGATGTTTGATAATCTTGTATATATAGGTTGAAAAGGACAAACAAAATAAAATTCAACATAAGAAAAAATTAATAAATTGTTACTAATCAGCCTAGGGTATGCAAAGATGACATCTTTTTTATTTATTTGTTAGTATATTTATATAATTTACCTTCATCAAATATTTATTTTATTTTAAAATTATTAATTTTTTTTATACAAAAATATATAAATATTAATAAAACTGCCACATTTGATGTGAAAACAATAAAAAAATATCAAAAAGATAAATATTTTTTTTAAATTGTAACATCAAATGTAGGCATCGCTTGTGATTGAATTATGATTGTTTGCGTTAAAATCAAACAAATTTAAAAATAAGTTTTTCATTAGTTGTATATTCACTAGCTAATTTAAGCAAATTAATAAAATACTAAACAATATTTTTAGTTAAATAGCCTATTCAAATATATTTTATTTTTTTATCTCCTAAAAGAAGGTTAAATTTCAAATATTTGATATCTTTTAAAGTATTATAAAGATGAGTAATGCACAAATGGTTGCAAATAAAGAAAGCAAAAAATTTATAGTAAAGTTTACATTTGTGCATAATAAATGGAAAATTTTGGACTTACCTTGTATTCTATGAAACTTGAGTAAATAGACCATGTTTAATATGTAAACAGAAAATCGTCACTTTTTTCAAATATTCACTATGCAATGCACTCAACGTGGTTTTGTATCATGAATTCGGACCAGGATATCTTCAGGATGGACTTGGTCGGCGTGATGTTTGGTTCACTTCAGCGCTGGCACTGAGGGTTGGAAGTCAACTCGACTTCTCTATGTGAACTGAACTGAACGCGAGCGGTTTTCGATGAAGAATGTCAGCCTCTCTAATATTTTGTTGCCGTATTGTATGCATGGGCCTCTGCTCATTATGGTGGGATACATATGTACCTGCCGTGTGATGATATTTCGACAAATTGATTACAAACTGGACATGGATTCGAGCGAAGCGAATTACGCGTTTGTTATGCGATTTGTGCAGGAACTCCAACTGCCAATGCTTCCTCTATAATTTGACTAATCATAAATATTATGCTTTCGATTTTATTTGACGCATTTTCTATGTAAAATAAAAGTCATTTTTATTTTGTTTACACATTGTATCACGTTAGATTGTTTTGAGATATTTCTTCCGAACCAGGAACGTTTGCCAGTTTTTCTCTCGACCAGATACAATGTTATGCATCCGTATGCGTTAATTAGCTTTAGCACACATTATGCCATATTCGTAGTGTGGATGTCTTTGAATATTTTGATGTTTGTCTATGCTTAGTATGAAATTTATCAGTTTCTCTCTATTAGCTATTGTATTACAATAAAGCTATATGGTGCAAACTATAAGATATCATGGAATTTTCATTGAGAGATTGCGTATTTAAATGACAGAGTTATAATATGATATCAGCAAATGCCCGCAGAAGGATATCACGTTTTTCACAATCTATTTAATATTTTTATCGAAATAGATATTTTTTTTAAAAGTATATTAAAATCCATAATAATAAGGTGACCAAAATTTTTGTAATCCAAATCCGAGCCGGAAACATGCAGAAAGAAATATATTTTAATTTATTTACGTATACATATAATAAAAATAATTTTTTTTTATTTTTTTTTCATTTGGATTTTTGAGTTCAAAACCTTTTTCGTCTGAAGTATGATCTATTTCAAGTCGAGTATTGTAAAAATCATTCTATTTCAAATATATTTAAAAGAAATATTGAATATAAAAATTTTGAAAATTCTGGACAAAAAAACTGAATCCCTGACATTGCTTCTGGAAAAATCCGGAACTAAATATTTGCTTTCAGTTTTCGTGATTTCTGTATTTTATCCTAAACATGTGTGGGCTCTACGCTATTTATCATTTGCCTCAATTTTTAATTAAGATAGTTAATTTTCCTAAAGTTATGCCCTTCTATAGGAAAAATACGGACAAAACGACGTGATGTTTTTATTTTAGATGATATTTATTTATTTTATAATATTATAATCAGTGTCAATCGTTTTTACTCATCTTAGATTCATTTCATAGGGAATATCTATATATAAGGATTATAATAACATATTTATTAGATAAAATGACTTATTGCTTTTGTTCTACTTTATTGTTTTTTTAGTATTTATTATTCACAAATTTTATTTTATTTATTAATTTCATTATTATCATTATTTGCTTTTATTAACTTCCCGAAGGAGAAGTTTGTTTTCATCAAAAAATCCGATTTGCTAATTTTATGTTTTCTCGACGTTTCAAGCCATTCTGAATCGAATGAGACCAAATTTGGAAAAAGTATGTGTGTGTGTGCGTATATGTGCGTGTATGTGAACAGATTTTTTGCCGTAAATCCATGTTTTCTCACAAACGGCTGGACCGATTTCAAAAATTTAAAAGCCATTCGATGTATCTCGATGAGGACTATCGTTTTCGCGCTACGATCGGCCGAGCCGTTTCTTTGTAAATCGCAGAAAAGTGAAAAATTTTTCGTCCACGTTTTCACCCGTAATTCTGAATCGATTCTGAAAATTCAAAAACCGTTCGAAAGATATTGGTTGGGAATCGTGCTGATTAGTTTTTGGTGCAGATCGGCCGGGCCGTTTTCTTGTAATAAAAAGTTAAAAAAAAATTTCGACTTCTAGATCATACTAAAATATTACCGCCCTACGACAACTCGTTTAGCTTTAAAAATTCGTCAAATTTTGCAAAAATTGGTATCGTTTTTTTGGCATTTGTCAAAATTAGACCTTTCATCGACGTTTGCTCAGAAACGCTTCAACCGATTTCAGAAATTTAAAAGACATTTGATGTATCTCAATGAGGACTAATAGAATAATTTGTCAGTTTTGTGAGACGATCTGCCAAGTCGTTTCTTTGTAATTTGAATAAAAGTGTTAAACTTTTCGTCCACATCTAAGCTCAAACTACCGAACCGATTTTAAAAAATCAAAAACTGTTTGAAAGATATTAGTTGGGAATGATACTGATTAGTCTTAGGTTAAAATCTACCGAGCCATTTTCTTGTAATTAACTGTTGAAAAAAAATAAGTTGATTTTTATGGAACTTTTTTTGGCGATACATATCATGGTCTGATAGAGCTTACTGAAATATTACGGGCTTGCGACAAGTAGTTTAATTTTAAAAATTCTTCAAAATTTGAGAAAATGAGTGGTTTTTTGACGTTTGTTAAAATTAAAATTAGACGATTTGGTATAACGATATAGTACTTGGTCTTAATGAACATACTAAACCATATTAAAGTCCTACGGAAACTGGTTCAATTATAAAAATTATTGATTTTTGAAAATTTGCTTTTAGAAAATACTCCGAGTTAACGTGTTTGTTCGTTTTCAATTATGTGTAATAAATCCACTCGGAATTCTTTTAATAACTAATAAATTAATTTATTTCTTATTGATTAAGTCGACTATTTACACATATCGGGAAGTTCATGTAACTTGCCTCAAGGCAAAATACCAAACCAACTAGTTTTATATTGAATCATTATAATACGGATATCATTTTAATGAAAATACTATCCTTTATTTTGTACTCTATTTTATTTATATTCATGTTATTATTCACTTATGTTACTAGATGTTATATTATTTAACAGTTGTAACAGATATTTTAATTTAAAAAAATATTTATATAGCGCATGAGCCCAAAAGGAAGAAATCATACATCGTAACCAGGCTCAAAACGCGAAAAGAGGTTTTTGCAATAAATGCAAGAATCTTCAACTAATAGATCCTTTGCCCTGTTTTAGAAGTAGTTATAGTAAAAGTTAAAAGCAGATCACCTTTGACAGGTTTCAATTTTCTTTTTTCTTGGTCTCGAATGAACTATCCTGAAGTTCATCCAAAGTAGTGCTGTGTCATTTTGTTCATTGTATATGTTTGTCATATCCGAAAGTTAAAAAAAAAAAAAATAATTAAACATCAAGAGAATTGCAATAAAATACCATTCTACCATCAAACACCTGAGAATAGCAATAAAATTGATTGGAATAAGTAGTACTGGCATTATTTCATTGATTTTAATAGAAGTAATTACACTAAGTCTCAAATAAGTCCCAAAAAACTTGACCAAGCCACCCCAAAATAAACTTTCAAAGACGCGACACGTTTGAACTATTTTGATTAGACTGTGACAATGACTCTCTACATCTGACAGGATTGTGATTATTGCTTTCTTTACGTGATATAGTTACGGAAAAGTTACTAAAACTACCCAATTTTTAAATAAGGCTACTGTATCATTTTGTGCATGCATACTATTTTGTCCTAATTGAAGGAGTTTAAAAGAAACAATCAAAAAGCTAAGTGAAAATTTTTATTTTATTAGTAGTGACGTACTAGTACTAGTTTTACACAATTAGTTTTTATGTACTTTTAGAGATATAATTATAGACTTGTCGTAAAATGATTTTTTTACGATCTTAGTAACGCCTTGAATATAATTGTTTGTGATTTTTCATATATATATTGTGTTGAGTGTTACATATCAGTGTTGAAATAATTAATGGCAGACAACTATTTATATAATTGTTGTATTAATTTATAAATTGAAATTTACTAAATTTAATTACAACGAAATGACATTGAATAACTTTTTTACATTACTAGTGAATTCTATCAAAAAATTTCATTTAATCTCATTACAATGTTTAACAGCTTATACATTAATGTATGGCAGGATCGAATCTAAATGGACACCTGAATGTAAAGTCAATTTCATTGATGTGAATTAGCGATTGCTTGCATAATCCAAAGTTAAATGTAATTTACTGGCCTTCTAGTGTTCAATAATTGTCGCAAAGACAATTTTAAATTAAAACATTGAAACTATTATTTCCTAATTTTGAGTTGTTTATTCTGATAACATTTAAAATCCATTCTACTACATATGGCAAAAACGAGATAAATTCTATTGAGTTAACATATGGTCTATAAAACACGTATTTATTATCAAAATTAAGTATAATAATTTATAAACAAATTTGCTCTCATAAACAAATTTCATAAACGAAGTGTAAGGTATCAGTTTCCCAAGTTCTCACGCCGATTGGATATATGGTTTATGAATACATAGGACATAGACCGACACACATGCACCCGTTTATATGTATATATGTATATGTATATATATATATATATATATATATATATTTATATATATATTAAAATCATAGGAATTAGAGCACAAATGTGCTTTTTATTAAGTAGATTCTAATTTTTGATGGAACGATAAATGGGGAATTACATATTATTAACTTCCCGTAGGATAAGTTATTGTAATCGCAAAAAAATCGAAAATACAATTTTTTATATATCTTTACGTTTCAAAGGTATCTGAATATTTTTGCATATCTTAGAAAAACTGGATGCATGTGTGTGTATGTAAGTATATTTGTGTGTGTATGTGTGTATGTGTGTGTGTGTGCGAACGAAGAATTTTTGCCGACGATTTCGGGAACACAGGTCAACTGATTTGAGTAATTTGAACATTCGATTCATATTGATAAGAAGACGTTCTGATTATTTTTTGTCGAAGACAGGTTGAGCCGTTTTGGAGATACGGGGCAAAAGTACCAAGAAACAGTAACTCATTTCTGGAGAGAACAGAGCGTCCGATTTGTATGATTCAAAAAACATTTTATTTGTATTTATGAAATAAAGAACTGATAAAATTTTTGGGAGGGCAGGTTTAGCGGTTTCGGAGGTTGAATAAAAAAATGACAAAAAATGACATTTGGCAGACAAAAATGATTATTAGACATATGCACATTA